ACAGCCTTTCACCCAGTTGTAATTCAGCTGGTCTGAGAGTACACTTCTGCCCCCCCCCACCATAAGGAGTGAGATTTGATGGCTGAAAATAGGGAGCTTTCATGCGGAACAGTGGGGTTAATGTCCTGTGTGTAGTCAACAGCCAATGTCTCGGCTTGACCATTTTATAAATGTATGAGTCACGCGCATTTCCTTTTGCTCATCTGATGGGAGAGGCTGAGAATAGAGAAAAGACAGATACAGGAGGAGGGCTGTATCTGCTAAACCTGTAGCAGCTTTAATTTCATTGTTTTGATACTGTTCATTTTGTGTCAATCATGTAATGCGAAAACAAATGATCATATTTTCATAAGCTCTTTATACATTTTGCATGTAAAATCACAATTGGTAAAATAACTGATAACTATAGCTGCTAACATGTTGTGTGGTAAAAAGTACACGATTTTGCACTGAATTGTGTTGGAATAGTAGTATAAAGCCTCAAGTAAAGTATAAGTAACTTAGATTTGACCAGTAAAAACATAACCTGCTTCACTTATTTAGGGAGTTCCTGAAACTTACCTCATGATGAACATGAGAAAACCTGCTATTAGACTTAGAGATGTGTTGGAATCAAGTTTAACCTCTCCTGTGTGCATCTTTTTTTTTTTTTTTTTTTTAGAAAACCTACTATTTTATATTTAGAGAGGCTGAATCTCAAGATCACTATGAAGTAAACATCAGTTGCACAGTGTAATGTCTGTACAACACTCACACCTTTGGCTTTTCAATTGGTTTTCCTAAAAGCTTTGTTTACACTATGCAATCGTTGCAGACAGTAGTTCCTGGAAAAATGAGAGCTTGCTTTGCAGATCCAGATCAACGAATTGCCAGCGTCATGGCGGAAACTCTGGCAAAAGATAAAGAGCAAAAAAAAAATCCCCGTAAAAAAAACATTTCTGTTACCACAAATTTCCGTTGAAATTTGATCATTTCATGGAAATGTTTTACGGCGAAATCGTTTTACGGGACACGTAAGCGCCTACACTGGGAGGAGACGGAGGGAGCGGTAAAACGTGAACAAGGTTAAAAAAGTGTGATGTATATCCAGAGAATTATACAAAATCATTCAACTATTGATGTTATGACACACATTTTCTCCACAGTAAACCTTTGTTTCATGTCACCTTTTTCCCGATAAGGCACACAATGAGGGTTGGTGGTTTGATATCAACATGTATTTTTGCCAAAAAGTGCCATATCGTCGGCATCTTTCTGCTGAACTGCACTGAAATGAAACAGAAGTCAGATGGCCTCAGGTTGACTTGAGCGCTTTATCAGGAGTATCTATTTCTAAGAATTTGAGTTCGGTCTGTGTGGTACTCAGAAGTCTTTTATTGTTTCAGCCTTCACCAGAGGAAGCCGGCAGGAGTACACCTCGTCCGACCCCAGCTTCACGATGAGGAGGAAGATGGAACACTTGAGGGAGGAAATGGAGCAGATAGGACTCTTACGGCAGGTGGGACGCCTCGTGGTTTGGTTACTCCTCCGCACACAGCAGTGAATCAGAAAACATCCTGCCAGATCCTGCTTTTGTTTTAGTGTTTGTTCCTTTGAGCGACTTAAGAAACACTTCACTCAAATGTCAGGAGGGTTGTGCGTCTCCTCACAGTGTTCCCACAGCTGCACCTAAGGAGTAATATCCTACTCTATATCTGCCCTGTACTGTCACTATTTTACTTAAATTTTGCATGCGGCCAATATTTGTTTCCTTTCAAACATAGAGCTGTCCACTGAAAACTGGACTAGTAGTTCTAGTAATGCTACGTAACAAGCACCCGTGAAACCTGCCACTCATTAGGCAGCACTGATGGAAAGAAACCTTGTTGGGCGACAAAGTCTTTTTGTGGGAAAAGAGCTCCTACTTTTAGAAACACCCACAGAAAAATTAGAAAATACAACTTTACCTGATTATAATAAATAATATGGCAATTATTATCCCTTTCATTAATTATGATCCTGTAGGGTCATAATTAGTAAGATTAACCTGATTGATGCACACAGCTTTACTTGAAAACCCAGCAAATACACGGATTTCCTGAATCTCCTCTAAGCAAGCACTATTTTTTTATTTTTTGTGTTATATTTAGTGTTTTTTTACAACATAAAATAGGCTGTATGCTGCTAACAAGAAACTGTTGATACACTGCAATAAAGCCATTATATTCAATAATGTAGAACAAGAAATTGGACTTACTGAAAAGAAACACTCCGTTTGAAATGTGTAACTTGTGGAATTCGCCACATCAGAAACTTTACACTTCATATGTTGACAAAGGAGCATCTTCAGACTAGAACTTCATTTCTAACAAGGCCTTGAGGTCTCTGTTTTTGACCTACCTATGGAATACACACAAATTTGTGCTAAGCTAAGAGCAGAAGTCAACTTTGTCAAGAAAAAGCATAAACATTTTGCTTCTCTGAAAACGATTTTTAAAAAAATGAGTAAATTGTTCTGAATAGATGATTAACATGTTAATAAATGGTAACCTGCTAAACTTACATCTGAGTGTGCATATTGCACCTCTTTGCAACAGCCGGTTAGCTCAGTATCTATGGATGTGGGCTAGTAACATTAATGTTGTCTTGCTTGAACCATCCATCCATCCATCCATCCATCCATTATCTATACACCGCTTAATCCTCACTAGGGTCATGGGGGGGCTGGAGTCTATCCCAGCTGACTTAAGGCGAAGTCAGGGGACACCCTGGACAGGTCACCAGTCTATCACAAGGCTACACTTAGAGACAGACAACCAAGCACACTCACATTCACACCTACGGACAATTTAGAATCACCAATTAACCTCAACATGTTTTTGGACCTTGTGGGAGGAAGCCGGAGAACCCGGAGAGAACCCACGCAGCATGGGGAGAACATGCAAAATCTTTCTGTGTGGAGTTTGTATGTTCTCCTGGGTGTCCTCACCGGGCAGCCTTCTTGCTGCGAGGCAATGATGCTAACCACCGAGCCACCCTGCAGCCCTTGCTTGAACCATTGTTTTCCTTATCATTTTCCCTTCCTCTTCCTTTTTTGTCATTGAGGAAGCTCCAAAATCATGATCGGCTATGATGTGCACATTAGAGCATTGTTACAAATCCCAATAAATGCAGTCAAAGTATGACTGTTCAGTCGAATACATGAAAAAAACCTTTGCATCGGAACCGTTTCTGAACATCTTTTCTCCAGTAACTATAGTTATTTTTAAAATGCATTTTCAGTTGGAAAATGCTCACTAGGTAGAGTTATTTTCCAAACACCATGTCAGCTTTTGTGTGCACATTCAAAAACTAGAGAGCCCTCAGTAGTAGTGACATAGTTGCCCAATGTATGCATGTTTACCTGATTCTGTGCCTACTTGAGGATGAACTTGCCTTGATTTTGCCTTAAAATAAAACATAATGTAACACGAGCTTAGTCCATCCTGTAACACAGATATTTTGCATGGAGGGGAAGCGTTTTGCTGTAATTTACACCCACTGCTAAGCACCTAAGATTTATGACCTTGACCTTTTGATCAAGGTCAAATGTCACATCACCAATATGGATTCCAATCTGATTGTAGTAAGAAACTATGTGTTTATCGTACACTTTTTTCAAGTTGTAATGGATTTAAAATTTGTGATGATTTAAGACCTTCAGTGTGACCTTGAGGCCTTGAACGTCTTCCTAAGTTAATATACTAAACGTATGTCTTTTTATGCATTTCCAGTCATACAGAGCTGGGAAATGTGACCTTTGACCTCTGTAGCGGTCACCAGTGCATGTATTCACCCTAAAATTGAATCGCTCTGAGAAGGGACAATGCCGAGTTCATACATGACGTTTCAGGTTCAAACTCCTCTCCTATAAAGCACTAGAACAGTTAACAGACTAAAAAATCGATGCCCATCGATGAGCAACTATAATTACATTCTAATGAACTGTCAAAGAATATTTTATCTTCATACGTTTGCTGTGTGATAAGTTTTGCTGTCACTGAGTGTTCCTGAAGCTCCTGGAGTCACTGAGTGTCTGTTCCCATGTAGAAGGTCTCCTGATGGTTGAGTCACCGCTTGCTTTACATCGTTTATTGCGCTGTACTTTACAAAGGTGTATTGCTGTATTGTTTATGTTCATATTTACTAGTTAGTAGTCTTCCTAGTCTGAGATGACACATTACTGCCACCTATTGGTAAGTGGTATATGTCATCTGCATGCACATGCAAGTACACAGATAAGCCACAACATTAAAACCACCTGTGTAATATCTTCTAGGTTCCCATAGTGCCTCCACAAAGACTCTGACTTGTAAGGGCATGCACACGGTTCCTCTGGGAGTGTCCTGTGGTGTCTAGCACTTGGACATTGGCAATGGATCCTTTGGGTGGAGTCTCTGTGGAATTGGCTTGTTGCAGCGACTCCAATGATGCTTTGTTGGATTAAGATCTGGCATACCTCTGGCAGTTTCTTCTTTTATTTGATCCCATTCTGAGAAGTGTTTTGCTTTGGGGGAGGTCACACTGTCCTGCCAGGTAAGGGCCACTGCTGGCAGGGAATGCTGTTATTATGAAAGGGTGTACTTCGTCTGGAACAATGTGCAGGTGGTTGGTATGTGTCAAAGCAACATCTACATAGACCCAAGGTGCCCCAGCAGAACATTCCATGGTAATGAGATCTCCACAGGATGTCTTCATTATACATACTTAATGTTGTTCAGTCACAACACTGTCTGCTAATAACAATTGGCAACGAATCCAAATGAAAATGGGACCCATGAATAGAACATCTGACAAAACAATAAGCACCCGTGTGGGGCGATTAGGATGCTACACTGACTGTGAAGGATCGTAGCCTTGTCATTGATGGTGCCACTGTTTTCTACAAGGAATGGGAACAAGAAACCATAAGTGGGTGAAGGAGAATTAGTAAAATAACTAGATCAATTTATTTATTTGTGACATGTAGCCATTATCTAGGGCATCTAGCCCTAGTCCACCTTTCTTCTACCTTAATGCTGAATCACAAGTATGTACTTGCAGGACGTCTCTGTAGAAAGAGAGAAGAACCAAACGCTCAGCAGCAGGTTAGAGGCTGTCAGACACACCTAAGGTCTGGGAGGCATGCTTCATGTCCTTGGCAGGATAACAAAACAAGATAGAAGAATGAAATCAGCCTGAAAATTACATTGTATAGTGGCCTGCATTGACTACAAGAAAGAGGCCATGTGAGGTAATGGGCTGGTAGAGACCAAGGAGTGCTTTTGCTCTGTTAATGAGGCATCTACGACCCACATATGAGATCATCGAGTTAATGGCAGCGGCTACGAGCAGTAATCACTTGTTGCAGAAATACAAAGCCAAATGAAACAAGCAAAACAATTACAGTGTTCTCAGCCTACCTGATCTAGAACAAACATATTATCTCACTAAAAATAAAAATTTCCTGGAGTGTGTTGGAAGTCACACCTGCATGCCGTTTCAGAGATGTCCTGATATTTCAGACAGATGTGATAGTGTGAAAGAACAAGAACACAAAGGCTGGTCCAAAGTTGAAAAGCAAGAACAGCAACAAAAGAAAAGCAAGGCATGCACGGGCAATGCTCTCCATGCTGAGAAGAACAGAGCAGACTTTCCCTTTGCTGGCAAGCAGACCACTGTGTAGGAAAATGGATCCAGAGGCTGTTATACAGAATTATTACACAAGCCTACTGACAATTAACCCACTCAGATAGTTTCATTAAGACATGAAGCTCATTTTGATGGCGAGTAAAGGAGAGTTTTTATTTTGGACTTTGATTTTGGAGGAAAGATTAACTATGTAAAAGCTAGGCAGCGGAATGATTAAGGAGGTGTGAACAATAACAGACAAGATGGGCTAGCATAAACAATACAGGAATTGTTGATGAGAGTAATAGCAACGACCTTTAAGAGAGCACGAGTGTGTGTGGAGAGATTAAACAGATGAGGTGGCAGTAACGTGAAAGCAGTTGGCAATTTAGATGGTGATCTGGACTTGAGGGGAATCTGATTTTAACAGAAAAAGAACATTTAAAAGGACTGCGTAACTGTGACATTGTAGTGATGGCAGGGAAGCAGCCGTGAATCTGATGATAAATGGCTCCTCACACTATTAAAAACAGCATGTTCTATTATGAATAGTGTGTAATGGTGTGGAGAGCCTTGTTCTGGTCAACAAGAGGACCTATTATGTTCAAGAAGTGTGATTTTTATAAGTGGGTCAAAGGATTTCTTCTTACCTAGAAACACAAGTGGCCTTCTTACATTCAGGGAAGGGCACTGGGTAATTCCAGAGAACAAGTCACAGTCAGCTGCCTTCCAAAGTCATTGCTTCACGCATTGATTCGCGGAAGAGTCGGTAAAAAAAATAGGTTGATGGCAAAAGGGAATAATTGTCTTTTGTTTATTCTGTCCTTAGTTCCTGTTTGTGTCTTTGTTGGATCCATTAGTGTCTTGAGGCGCAGCTTTGAAGCTCAGTGCGGTGGCTCAAAATGTCACCATCTTGGCAGTGCCTGACTCCTCTTAACTCCTGGCTTGTTTGAAAATGAGCATAGAGGTGGTGTGTGTGTTGAGCTGAGGCAGACCAAGCAAACATGTGCCCCCTTAAATTGTGCTGTGACAGCACACGCCTGTCACGCAACGTGGCCACGCCCTCAAATATGCATCACTTTTAGCTTTGTTACAACTGAAATGGGTAAATTATACAAAAATTGACCCTTCTTACAGTGGTCATGGATATTTGCTATAGAGGCCAAAACCATTATGATCAGGCTTTAAATATATTTATTTTCTGCTGTAAAGTTGTTAATTTTAACATGAGGGTCTAAAGGGACTGACTCATCTCTGGAGCCAACATTGAGTAGCCACTTAAAGAACTGCGGTTCTAGGTACTTCTGCACTAGTGTTGCTCAACCAGCCAGTTCTGTAGAACATAATGGTCTGATTGCACTTGTTTATCATTCTGCTATACAGGAAAAAACAACGATCCACCGTGTTTATATTTCTTTAACACAGTCGTGTTAGGCAGTACGAAGCGAAGGATGCAGCATTAGTGTTCTCTTTGAAATAGTGACGAGTGGAATTGTTTTCGTGGCAAGTTTGCGTGTGGGCACAGTCATTAAAATACATCATCTATCAAAGAAAAGCCAGCAGGTCTTCCTTACTGCCCGATCCAAATCCTCAGCAGAACTTAACAGTTTTAGTGTGGTAGGTTGCTGCTTGGAGATTGTTGCCGTTTCCTGTAGTGAAGTGGATTAAGAAAAAGGTAACAGATAGTGGAAGCGGAGGACAGAGATGCGTACAATTAGAGGTCAATACCTACCTACAAGACCTAGTATTAGCTAATGCCTAATACCTATGACCTACATCCACTGAGTCAGACTATTTCTGCACTGACTTCATTTTCACCCTCAGGGTATTGCTCCTGGTAGACTTGTGGGTTTGTGGTTGTGCATAGGCCTAAGACACCCACTCACCACCGGGTTGTGGGTCCATAAACAAGTCGTTTTTTGTAAAAGCTTCACCAGAGTTACTTTGGTGTGACTAAAACTTACCAGTCGTATTTCCTTTGCAGACTTCATAGGTTTGATTGAGGAGCCGAGGTGTCGGGAGCCAGTTGTCGGACACTTGACACTCTCCAGTGTACATGTTAGTGTTACTTTGAAGGTGTGAACTTGCAAGCTCTTTGGGGGAATACATTTATTTGGACAGTGGTGCTTTTTGGTCAGTATTTTGCATTTTAAAAAAGGATTGAGGGCCATTTCTATAGCCATGTGTTAGGGTGAAAGGGGCCACTGGAGCCAGCCTGAGATTTGCCATTGTGGAGAATCCAAAATGGTACCAAGGAAATGGTTGTGACACTGTTTAAAGTTAGTCACACTTTAAAGGCTGTTGTTTTAATGCTCTGTGTTGTCATGTTTGGATAAAACTGACTTCTTCCACAAGGAGTGTACACCATCTGCGTTGGCTAGTTTCAACATTATAATGTCTATTTGTTCATGTTGGCTTGAAAGTTTGGATTCAAAGTTCATTCCTGACAAGATTTCTTGGCTGTTGCAACAATTAACCACTGTTTTCACAATCAGTAAAATCTCAGTAAAGTCACTGTCATGGCTGATGAGAAATCCCCTCTAGTTTCTTCTTCCTGGAAACATTCTGAATGGAAACTACAGTTGGGGTCAAACAGAAACAGACAGGCTTCAGAAAAAAAACAGAAACACCATTAAGCAGTGCTGAGAGCAGAGTGACCCTTTGTTTATTAACAAGGAAAAGGAAAAAAAAGCACTTCATAGTGTGCACAGACCAGCATACAGTAGACCACTGACTTCAATGAAGCCATTACACACCAAGATCTACAACTGTTTTGAATTTATTGTGAAAATCATCAGCGGTTCTTTTCTATGACTGTACGTCTCGACTTAAGCAAGAAGACATGATGCTTCACATCGTATCTGTGCTACTCACTGACTAAAATATGTGTGCTGTCTGATGAACTAAAACGTCTTCATTAAACTCTATCATACATCAACCGCTGGCTCCCCTCAGGAACAAGAACAAACAAGTTGACTTTTATTTGGTGTGCACTGTTCAGTACAGTGTGGTAACCTGCAAAGCCGTTAATACCAAAACTGTTAGCCACACATCCTCAGGTGTTCTGAAAGCTTCTTTATTACTTTTTACGTGAAACAAAACGCTCAGTATATTTCCGGAGACTCAGAATTATATTGGTTGTTGTGCAGACAGGAAATATTATTGGCAACACTTTATAAAACCACATAAACTTACGTGACAGATTTACTGCAGCGACATTGTTTTGGTAATATGCCCAAATATGACTAATTTGTACAGAACCAAGCAGGCCTAGACACTCTCCTCAGCTCCTTAGTGGATTACACCCAAGTGTACTTTCTGCCCAACCAGTCACTTTGTGTGAACATCAATCAGCCACAACGTTAAGACCTAATACATTAAAGACTACAAAGGCCTAATGTTGTGTACATTCCCGTTGTACCAGCAGAACATCTCTTACCAAGCGGGGCATAGACACAGGACCTCTTGGTGTGCCTTGTGGTGTCTGGCACTCTTAATCCTATAAATTGTGGAGTGGATGATTGATTTATTGGGTTCTGGTGAGTTTGGAGGCTGAATCGACACCTTTGTCGTGTTCTGCAACCTTTGCCTAAGCAGTTTTTGCAGCACATTTTCCGGCTGTGTGTGCTGTTGCAGCAAAGGTTGTGCTTGGTCTGCTGCAATGTTCAGTTGAGTTTCGTTTGTGAAAGTAACGTCCACATGAACATAAGGACTCAAGATTTCCCAGTGGAATATTGTTGGTGTCTGTACTCAGATCTGTGGACTAAAATCTGGGTCTCAGCGGGGCCTTCATGGTCAATAAAGGACAGACGAGTGTCTGGAGGGAGAACTCACTGTGAATATTTCATTGAAAACAAGTAAATCAAACTCCTTTTTTGAAGCATATGTGACAGTGATGTCATGAGGCCATTGTTGATGTGTTTGCAGAATATCGAGTCCAGACTGAAGGTGCTGCTTCCAGACGATGTTGGAGCTGCTCTCATGGATGGAGTTGTTCTTTGCCATCTAGCCAATCACATTTGTCCTCGGTCTGTTGCCAGCATCCATGTACCATCACCTGCAGTGGTAAGCAAAACCTTCAAAAAGGGTCTTTTATATTTTAAGTTATCACTGTATGATATTGAACAAACTTTTTGTCGTTTGTTGTTGTTCCATATATGTTGTTGTCTACATAACCTACTTCCTCTTACAGTTTTGTGTTTTGATTTTGTTTCTTCTCATTTTAATTTGATTAACTAATGTGATCATGATTTCGGCCTCCAGCCAAAGCTTAGCATGGCAAAATGCCGTAGGAATGTTGAGAACTTCTTGGATGCCTGTAAGAAGCTGGGTGTACCACAGGTAAATACAATTTAATTTGTCACTCATGTGTAACCTACATGTTATCACAACAAGCATAGTTTTACACAGTGGTAAGATTTATTACCTTCCAATGATATTAACTGTGGAGTTCGGGAACATAAATTACAAACCTGGATTAGTACTGACTGTTTGAAAAATATATTCAAGTTACTTCATGCACACTGACTAGTCTGGTTTGTTGCTGAACTACTAACTGATGTAAATGCCTTCCACAGCTAATTTAAATAAAAAGTCCATTTATTTTTTGTGGTAAACTTGCCCGACACATAGTTATTCAAACAGTAAATGCTGATGAGAGCCACACCTGTCTTCTTTCCTGAGTGCAACTGATGAAACTTGTCTCTGCTAACTCAGGACAAGCTCTGTCTGCCACATCACATCCTCGAAGAGCGTGGTCTGGTGAAGGTGGGCGTGACCGTCCAGGCTCTGCTGGATCTTCCCACGTCCAAGTCCACGCAGCTGTCGGCTGTTTGACACGAGCCTAAATGTTGCGTCCGAACTGCAGTCATCCAGCCCCCCTCTCTTCCTAGCCCGAACCCCATCGCCAGGGACCAGAGAGCCCCTCGGGGCGAGGACCCAGTGGCTCGCGGGCTTTTTGGAGTCTGCTTCTGCCTGACTGAACCAGGAGACAGGAGGGTGAAATGCCTCCGTCTCCTCATATGATGTCAGCCGCCGCCCACCTCCGGCCCATCGCATTTTCACTCGTATCCTGATCCTTGTTACTGCGGTCATCCCGTATGTGTGTGGACTTAAAATGTGACAGTGTGTTTCCTGAGCTGCTCAGTTAACACAGACAGACATGACTGTGGGTCTCTAAGTAGATCTGCACAAATCTATCAACAGTGATTACTGAGTCTGCAAGTGCCAGAACAGACATTTCCGTGCCGATGTTGGACACATCGGCAGTGAGGAGATGACAGACACATAACTCACTCTTTCACTAAAGAGGACTGAGCTGCCTCGCAGCTGCAAGCTACTGAGTGACCTCATTGGGTTCTTACACTTGAGTTTCTTTTTTGTGGAATTTATTTTTGCCACAAAAAAAAAAAAAGAATTTTGGAATTTATTAATGTTTTTTTTTACACACTTCATCAGGTCCTTACTTTATCTTCTTTTGTGCAGCCAAACCTGATTCATGTGAAGTTATTTGCTATGTACTGCTGCTGAGTAATCGCATCTCCACTGCTTTTTTTTTTTTTTTAAGGAAAGCTGTGAGCAAGAAATGGATTTGGTGTTGTCTTTTGGGAAATCATGCTACAGTAGACATTCTGCCTGTTTTTAGTGAAACTCTGGTGTGGCTTTAAAATCTTTAAACCACTGTACAAATCATGCATAACTCTGTAACAAAGTTCTTTCTCAGTACAAACCTGCATGCACCAGGGGAAGTGACATTTGATCACTGTGATAACCGTGCTCGGCTGTTGCCAAAAGCATGACGTCTTCTTTTGTAGCATTTTTTTCCAGTGTACATGCAGTTCTTTTTTTTGTTTGTTTGTTTGTTTGTTTTTGTATTATTCTGTATATTAACTTTTCTAAAGGTTTTATACTTTCCTCCCAGTCATTGCCAATTATCACTGGCCAATTTTGTGGAGTTCACGGCATAGATTTGCTGTGCTGTACTCAAAGCAGTTAGGATTTTATCGCTTTGCATAACCTCTGATGAAACGTGTTTATACTGTGTGTGTTCGTGAGTGGAGATGTGAGTGACGGGCCTCTGGTTCAGAAGAGTGTTCAGTGCTGCCTAGAGGCAAACCTTCCTCACATGGCATGGCCTTATCGTACCGCCAGGCCACCCTGCTGTTTGTGGTCTCTGATTCATTATTTCAGGGAAATTAAATTATTTATGTATTTATTTAATTGTTTTATTTATTTTTATTTTTTTACATGTTGTTTCTTTGTGTGTCTTACATTCTAATCTTGTGTGTTTTCTGTGTGTTTCTGGTTACAAAAATCTGCTGGACTACACTGTTCAATGCGGCGGCTCTGAGAGCTCAATGCGCTGCAGCCTGAGGAAACACATGCAAAAAGACAAAATGCACACAGGTTAGGACGGTAGCTTTGCAAATTTGACTACACAGATGCAACATTCAGAAAAATGCAGCAGTGTGCCGAGTACAACAGAGGCATTGTCGAGGGGGGAAAACAAATGGAAGATTTGCATGTTCTCTAACACCATTGACAGAAAGCTAACAGGTAATTTACAGTGCCTATAAAAAGTATTCACCCCCCCTTGGAAATGTTCCCCTTTTATTGCTTTTTAACCTTCAATCAAAGTCAGTTGAATTAATTATTATGTAATTCATGCTGTGCAACTTGACACAACTTCAACAGTTTTGCAAAGAAGACTGGGGTAAAATTGTAGAGTCCAGATAAGCAAGGCTGATTAAGACCTATCCACACAGGCTCAATGCTGGATCTAATGAATAAACACATCTATCAAAGTGCTGTGTCTTATAAATACTAACTTAAAAGGGGGTGAATACTTATGCAATCACTTACTTTACATTTTATATCTTGAATTAATTGGAATCACTTTGTAGAAATCCACTTTCACTTTGACATGCAAGAGCTTTTTTTTTTTTTTGGTAAATTCTTGTCCAAAAAAAAAGCCAAATTATATTAACCAAGATTCAGTGATGGAAAAAGGGAGCACTTTTGAGGGGGCTAAAAACATTTTATAGGTGCTGGAGGTGAATCTAAACACATCAGCTGTCATACTTTTTTGTTTCAGATTGGTGCAAAGGAATCAGTCATTTTCAAACAGGTATTTTCAAACCGCTTGTCAGTTGAGCAAACAACAGTGTTGACAGCTTGAAATATCCCTGAATAGAAGAGGTGTGGCTCGGTGGCGAACATTGTGCAAGATACGATCGTGTTCACAAACAATTACAGGTTTCTAAAGTGAGAAGTGAAGTTATGCGACAGGAAAACGGCACTGACGTCACACTGAATTACACCGACTTCACTTTAACTTTTTACGTCTAAAACTGTGTGCTATTAGTTCCTTATGTCTGAAGGGTGATATCAGTTTTCTTGTCAGGCAGTTGGCATAGTTGTCTTGACATCTAGGTGGATGATAACGCTCCCTCAGGCAGGCCTGGTGTGCCATTCATTTTGTACTTGAGGTTCGATTCACCGCGCCCGGCATGCCAGTAATTAGACTGGAATTGAAGTTAAGTACCTCATGAGTTAATTATAAACATAATATTCCATTAAAACTATTAATTAATCAAAAGTGACAGCGAGGGTGATGGTGACGGCCAAAAGATTTCTGTTTCTGTGCTTTAATGGTTTGTAGTGATAATATTTCCCTGTGGACAAATATGTCACACAGCAGAAAACAGAACCAAAGTGTGCTGATTTGTAGGCAGCATCGAATTGACAGGACGAACCGTTCTATGTGTAGGATGGAGATGTATGCACAAAAAAAACTGAGGAATGTCATGCTTCATTTTCCAGACTCTATGCGAAAATGCACCTTTGAAGAAAAGCTGCTTTTACGACCTGCATCGACTTCTGTCAGTGACATCAATTAAACGACATGGTTTACTACTTCAGCTACGCCTGCCGAATGTTGACACAAATTACCAAGTTCAAATCAGACAAGGTGTTTAGAGCAGAGTTTGGTGCGAGACATAATCTAGCAAAACCATCGTGCAAAATCTTTCGTAGCCGAAACATCCAAGGACAGCTCGACCTGCTGCCATTTCAACACCTTAAAAGTCACCAGACATCATTATGACAGGACATATTGTGCCTTAGAGGAGAGGTATGTTTTGTTTTTCTTTTTTCTGCTATTATTTCACAAGTTTATTGAACACACTCATATTTTTTTTCTTTAAATACATGAATTGTGCTTTTATCTGTTCACTTCCCTGTACACGGATGCTTTAGATTGTTTACCAGAAGCAGCTTCTTTGCTGATTGACTGCAAAGTTAGCTGAAGTGTTAAAAAAAAAAAAAAAAGAAAAAAAAATCCATGTTCCATTGGTTTGTACTTAAAGTTTGATTCACCGACTCTCTGGTGTGAAATTCAGCTTTTGAGTATTACCATACACGGTCAGATGTCCCAGTTTTCATACTGTTCCCGAGAACCTCTGCTTCCTCTGAAGGGGCTTTTTTTACTGACGTTGTGCCGTCATATTCCACAGAAAAGATGCCACAGTGATACAAAACAATGCAGAGCTTCCAGTTTATCAGATCTTTTGTGTACAATATGCACGGGTCACCACAGAGACTCAGGTCACACCTTTTTTCTTATGCAGGAAGTCCCTGTGAATATCTATGAATAACTGGATGGATCTTATCTGTTGTCTGGCTACATGCAAACGCAGCGTCTAGACATACTCATTTGCCCACTGCAGACAGGTCATCTTTTATGGTCCTGGCTGCCATTTATTGATCAAAGAAGCAGCTTTTTTTTTTTTTTTTTTAAAGATAGACACATATCTAGAGAAATGTTCAACAGCGGGCTCCATCATAAAACATCTAATATATGTAACTGACCACATTTATCACCATGTGAGGTTTGTTTATTCTGCAACGCTATAAAATGTGAAAAATGAACTTGTAGCGCACCGCACTGTGTTAGCCTTACAGCGCCTGGATACTTTATCTAAACAGAGTTCACACAAAAAGCTCTAACACCAACGGTAGCATCGTACTTTCTCATGATGTTCATCTGTGTATGATTACAGCCCCGGAGAAAAGAAACTGACCCGATATCTGAAACTACTTCAAGTTCGCTGTGTTTAGCTTTGGGGTGTAAATTATCCTGAGTACTCAATTATCACGAGTTATTGAAATGACACACAGTTACCTGGAGATTAAAAGTAATTGGAAAGGGAGAAAAGAAATTGGGGCCATTTTGTAACTGAATTTAAATGCATTGTCATGATTCTGGGAAAGTATGGACTGAGGTAAAAAAATGGGCCACAAGTAAAACCACAATACTTAATTGGTCTTTTGTGGCGTAGTCATCAATCTTGATGGTGTTATGGTTGTGGTTTTCCATGGGATTAAAGAAGATCTTTTCATGAGGGTGAATCATAGCACAAACAAGTTGAAATTTTCTCTCCTGAGGAAAGAGGTCAAAGCATCCAAACCAGCCTCTACTAAAACAGGAATGTACCCACATGTCGCTGGTGTTGTCCTCATAAAACATACAGTAAACCCTTTCCCCCCCCACAAGGTGTGATGACTTTATCAGTTGGAAAGAATGTGTTGCATTCAAAGCGTCACACACTCTCCAAGTCTTTGTAACAGTGGCAACGAACAGCTCACTGTGCAGCTGTCCCAAGTGCTAGAAATGACTTACCTCTTGTGTATTATTTTGTTGTGCATGGTAACACACATTGTTTGCCTGGGTGTGTCAAAGCTCCCAAAGTATTTCAGTTCAAGGTTCAACAGAACAGCTGGGTTTCCGGAGTTAATTGATTGTAATTACTTTTACCGTCTACCCTGTTATTAAAATCACACAGCTGCTGGCACGTTCAATCTGTTGTTGAAATGTGAAAATTCCAATTAATTTGTCGTGTTTTGGTTGTACAGACTTACAGTACGCAACAGAAGCGAGCACACCCTAGTGCACTTAAAGGTCAAGTGATTCAATATTGGATACAAGTCTTGGTAAAAGTGTAGGGTATGTAAAATGACAAAACTTAACAGATTAGGTTGGCAGTATTTAAAACGCAGGCCCTGTATAGAATAGGAACTCAATGCAATAAAAGGTCAGTCCACCTGAGATTTACCTCTTTTATTTTTTTCTCTTTGTTATTTCTTTTGATGACAAACACAAACCTACTTGTTGTGTGAATGTAAGTGTCAAATTTCTGGAGAGATGTTCTTTCTTTCTCCAGAAACAATTTGTGTTTACTGCCTATTGCTGGAGGGCTTGTGTTGTGTTCTTTTTTCTTTGGAGTACCTCCAGGGGCTTCTGCTGGATTCAAACAGGGCGACATACTTGGCTCGTTGACAGTTGTCCCTTTTTTCTTCTTTAAAAAGCCTCTTGTGATTTTGGCAGCGTGCCTTGGGACCTGCTGGAATACTCCTCTTCTGTCAGACCTACATGTACTGGATGTCACCTTGTCTGCCAGTATGTTGTTGCACTCACAGCGTGTCATCTGCAAATGTTATCTCACTTTTGGCACTCATACAGCTACCTATCATCGCACTTTCCCGTCTGTGCTTCACTGTCAGGACAATGCATTCACTGTATAGTCCTCACCAGGTTTATGCAAATGTCTTTGGCCTGATCTGAGCCAAAATGATGCATCTTAGTCTCGTGTGGCCAAAAAAGTGTGCTTCAGTATTCATCAGATTTCTTTTGATGCTCTTAAGCAATGTTTCATTTTGCTGTGTTTTTTTGAAATGCCATTCATAGAAATAGACAATAAGTGATATCCTTTGTGCTTTCATTGGTAACATCTATGCTGTGTGGAGCACTTGCCTGTTTTTCAGAACTAGATTGTGCAAGTACTGTTCTGTCAGTGGCATCGTGTTTAGAAGGACGACCGCTGCACTCTCATTAATGGTACTATTTCTTGTTCATCAACAGCCAAGTGCTGCTGCAACTGTGTTTTGATTTTTAATTGGTCACCAATCATCCTGTATCCTTTTCCATTGTTGTTATAAGTCTGACAGTCATTTTTGGCGGTCCTTGTACATGTAGAGCCATTATGCAGACATGCAGATAGACACAGCCCATATAGGTCCAACACTGAGAAAGCCCAGGTGTTACCAGATCAGTTTATAATCATGTTCACGCAGTTCGACTAATTGTAAAATCACAGGTCTACTTGATGTGTGCCAGTTTTCTAACTTGCGTGTGCATTCACTTTTGTTGCATTGACTTTCTA